GAGCGGACAGATGTTGGGTGTGTGGTCCTGTGTTTTGTTGGTGTATATTTTCTAATCGCTATTTCAATCTTTCTATCTTTCTAATTACTTCTCTCTCTGTTTTTCTCTCTGTCTCTATTTTCTCTTCACTTAAAAAAGTCACTGATGATGAAGAAATAAATAAACTAATATTTTCTTTTGTTTTCTACTGAAGTGACGCACAAAAAAAAGCTAGCCTTTTGATACTTCTAGCTACAGTTTTGCACTTAACTTTAGCTAGCTTTTTGCTACTTTTAGCCAATGTTTTGCAAATTTTAGCTTTGGGCTTTCACTGTGATACTTATAGCCATTATTTTTGCTGGTTTTAGTTAGCTGTTTGGTGCTTTTAGCTAGCTTTTGATACCTATATTACTGTTTTGGTACTTTGGTCCTTTTGACTTCTTTTAGCTATCCTTTTGGTACTTCTCTAACTATTGTTTTAAATTTTAGTCAGCCTTTTGCAACTTTTAGCTTCTAGCTAGCACTTTGCTTCTTTTAACTTTCAGCTAGTGTTTTGTTGTTTAAAGTGTTTAGTTAGTTTGTCTATCATTGGCTTCTTTTAGCGTTAGCTATCATTTTTCTGCTTCTAACTCTTAGCTGGTGCCCTGCTGCTTTTAGCTTAGCGACTTTAGCTCCTCCGGGACATTTCAGCTGCCATTCGGTTCTCAGTGTTTGTAATATTTTTTTTCTTCTTCTGCAGTGTTTCCTGTCAGCGATGTGAGCTGCTCTAACCAGACGTCCTCCTCAGTCACCAGCCAGTCAAATGCACCCGGACAGTAAGGTGGCCAATCATGGCAAGCAGGTCAGCAGCGACGGCCGGTCCAGCGTGAGCCAGCAGCAGCAGCAGGGGGCTGCCACGCACCCGGGTTCTAAGGGACCCGGCAGCCATGGGGTCAAATCCAACCAGATGTCCCTCAGCAGTCCTGGGCTGAAGCCCGTCAGCCAGTCGGCGAGTGGCGTCGGAGGGATGATGAGAAATAAATCCAAGCGGGAGCGGAGCGTCTCCGTGGACTCGGGCGAGTCCAGGAGCACCGTCCCTTCGGTCCTGGAGACGGATGCCAAGGGTGGTAAGTTGTTGGGGGGAAACTGCAGCAGCGTCTTTACTCGAAACGCCAGATTAGGAGCCCACGCCTCCTCCACTGCAGGAAGTGAGTGTGACTGAAAGGTACTGAAACACCCTGACCTTTTCACTCAAGCACCCGAATTTCCCCTTCGGCCTTTGATTCTTTGATTCGTAAAAAAAAAAAAACCCAGCTGAAAGTGCATCAGGAGCTGTGAAGAGTTATTAATCCTCTAGAAGCTGAACTGATGGGTTTCTGTTGGCGTCTAGGCAAATCTCTCTGTGCATGCTGGTCAGGAAAAAGTGTTTGATTTGCATTCGCTTGCTGCTCTTTTGGCAGCAGATGACATCGCTGTGAAACTTGCAGAAGCTTCCTGTGCACAGACCCGCACACGCGCTCGTGTTTCTGTCACCTCAGAGACATTATTTACTTCTGCAGCGTTAGCCTTCATAGCTACAGTACGCTAATATGTGCGGGACTTTTTTTTTTTTCATTTTGGTTCCCAGATGAGTCTGAACAAACTGTGATTTTGTGCAAATAAACACATGCCAAGAAAAACCCACATAGGGAGGCGTGGCTTCAACACAAAATACAGCAGTGGGTGGTGGAGGGATCATGGCTGAAAATAGCTAAAAATACCAAAATCTAGTCAAAAGCTAAAAGTAGCGAAAACATTATCTTAAATTTGAATTTATTTTTCTAAAAAGAGCAATTGTTAATGAACTGAAGTGATAAATACAGACGTAAATAGGATTTTTTTTTCAGTAGATTCTTAACAAGCAACATATAAAACATATGATTTTAGCTAAAAGTAGCTAAAAGATACAATTAGCCCAACAATAACTAAAGGCTAAAAGTAGAGAAATGAAACTAAAAGCTAAAAAGAGCAAATCTGTACGTAAAAGCAAAAGAACTCCTGCTAAAAGTAGCAAAACAGTAACTAAAACAACTACAGTAAATGTATCAGGAGAGTAGCTAAAAGTGGCTAAACTATAGCCAAAAGCAAGAGAACTACAGCTAAAAGTAGCACAGCAATAACCAACAGCTATAGTAAATGTAGCACATTAGCTAAAACCTAAAATTACTGTTACCAAAATGCTAAAAGTATCAAAACCATATCTTAAAATGATAGAGTAGTGGCTAAAAGTTGTAGAATGGCAGCTAAAAGTAGCAAAACTGTAGCTAAAAGAAACAAAATTATAGTTAGAATAAACAACTCTAGCTGAATGTAGCAAAATGGCAGCTAAAATGATCAAACTGCAGCAAAATACAACAGCACAACGGCTAAAACTAGAATAGCAGCTAAAAGTAAAAAACAATAACCAGCAGCCGAAGTGAATTTAAAGCTAGATTTATTGTTACCAACTACTGAAAGTGGCAACATCGTAGCTAAAAATAGCAAACTCAAAAGTAACAGAGTGGTAGCTAAAAGTAGTAGAATGGCAGCTAAAAGGAGCAAAACTTGAGCTAAAAGTAACAAAACTGTAGCTGAAAGTAGCTAAATGGAAGTTATGACTGGGAAACACTAGTAAAAAGCAACAGAGTGGTAGCTAAAAGTAGCAAAACAGCAGCTAAAAGCTACAGTAAATGTAGCAGAGCAGTAGCTAAAATCTGAAAAAATTAACCGAGGCAAAACAAACTTTTATAACTGGAGTTTAAAGCTACCAGTACTGCTGTGGTATTTCCCAAATGCTAAAGATAGCAAAACTGGAGCTAAAAGAGGCTAAAAATTATATTTAACAGAATGGTAGCTAAAAATAGTAGACGAGCAGCTAAAAGTAGCAAAATTATTGCGAAAACCTAAATGTAAATTAAAAATAACAAACTAGAGCAAAATGTGCTGAAACAAATGTTAAAAGATCTCCATTTATCTGGATAAATTCACTTTAAAAAGGTTACAGAAAGCAAACGTCACGGTGCGTTGTTCTCAGCTGAGCTGAATGATTTGATAACTTAATGGTTAAAATGTCAAAGTATGAGGAAGTAAATTGAGTCCAAAAGAAACCACAAACAGGAAAACAATAGTGTGAATGCTGACTCGACATTCACACAGTTTCACCACTAAATCTGACATTAGAGCGGCTAAGTGTTTTACTCACGCTGTGTAAATTATATCTTTCTCTTGCTCTATAATATGTAATTACAGACTTGTAAAGGCATCAATAAATGAATTCGGGGATTCCCCACCTTATCCTCTCAGCCTGTGGTCTCCACCCAGCTGAATGTCTCAAATACCTTTTTTGTTTCATCCTTGAGATTCCTCAGATTTAAAACACGTGACTGAAAGCTGAGGCTGCCTGTTGGTTTCAACCAGGAGTTAATATTTAATATAACAGAATAATATTAGTAATGTTGTGTTTTTGTTCCGCAGAGGGTGTCATGCGCAGTAAACGGCGCTGCGTTCTGACGAAGAAGCAGCCTTACAGCGGAGACGAGTGGTGCTCCGGGCCGGACACGGACGACGAAGACAAACCCCGGGCCGGTTCCCAGCGTGAGTCCCATCAGTGGAAAATTAAAATCTGTTTCAACTCCTGAATTCTCTGAAACAAGGAGCCGGCTTCGACTTTATAAGAGTTCTGGCGCCATCTAGTGTCGAAGCGTTGCTTTAAACTGCAGCTGAAACAGTTTTCATGTGTTTGATGTTTCAGGTTTGATCCAGGGCCTCTCTGATCGCCTCCCTGCAGGACTCAAACCTGAGCCCGGGGCTGCCGTGATGAGACCGGGTCTAAAACCGGAGCCGCCTCAGCCTTCACAGCAGCTGGTCTACGTTTTCACAACCAGCCTCGCCAACAGGTGAGGACTACCTGCTTTCCACTCCATAAAGTCGTTTATCGATTCCGTCGCAGCAGCAGCGACCTTTTGATTGTTGATTTTCTCCACAGCGCCGCAGAGGCCGTGATGAAAGGCCAGACGGACTCCATCCTTCAGTTTCACCAGCAAAACGTTTCACAGTCCAAGCTGGAGCAGGTCAGACGCTGCAAATGATCAAAACATTAAACCAGAGACGAGTAAAACTGTTCGAGCAGCTGCTAACTGTGGGAAAGATGATCGGACTATTTTTATCTCTCGTGCTGCTTTGTTCCTGTTTCACTTCCATGCTGCATCAAACCACTCTAAAAACTGATGTAAAAACTGACGTTTAACATTTTTATACCATATTAAGGAAACCATGTTGCGTGCCATCGATACAAACACTCAGAAGATGGACAAAAGTATTTCTGTGTCACTTTTTGCTCTCAGGCAATGATAACAGTAGCTAAAAGTAGCCAAACATAAAAAAAAACCACAGTAAATGTAGCAGGAGAGTAGCTAAAAGTGGCAAAACTATAGCTAAAAGTGGCAAAACTACGACTAACAGCCATGATAAATGTAGCAAAGTAGCTAAAAGCTAGAATTACTGTTACCAAATGCTTAAAGTTACTTTACTTATTATTTAGTAGCAAAGCCATACCTTCAAAATGACAAATTAGTTGCTAAAAATTGTAAAATGGCAGCTAAAATTAGCACACTTACCAAAAAGGAACAGAACTGTAGTTAAAAGCTAGAATCACTGTTAACAAATGCTAAAAGTAGCAAAGATATACATAAAAAATTACAAATTAGCGGCTAAAAGCTACAGTTATTGTTCACAGATGCTAAAAGTAGTAACATTGTAGCTAAGTAGCAAGGCCATACCTTAAGTGACAGAATAGTAGCTAAAAGTAGCAAACTGTAGCTAATAGCAGCAAAACTATAGTTATATTAGAACAGTAACTGAAAATAGCAAAAAGGCAGCTAATTCAAAATGAGAGACTAGTAGCTAAAAACTGTAAAATGGCAAATAAAGTAGCAAACTATAACAAAATGGATCAGAACTATAGCTAAAAGTAGTATAACAATAACTAACAGCCATTGTAAATGTAGCAAAACTGCAGCTAAATGCTAAAAGTAGTATTGTAGCTAAAAGTATCAAAGCCATACCTTAAGTGACATAATAGTAGCTAAAAGTGGTAGAATGGCAGCTAAAATTAGCAAAGCTGTAGCTAATAGGAGCAAAACTATAGTTAAAAGTAAAAGAACTTTAGCTGAAACTAGTAAAGTGGCAGCTAAACGTAGCACCACAGTAACAGCTACAGTAAATCTATCAAAACTGTAGCTAAAAGCTAAAATTACTTTTGCCATATACTAAAAGTAGCAACGTTGTGGCTAAAAATTTAATTAATTTTTATGTTTATGATTAACTCGATTCATTTTTTTTAAATCAGGTCCCAGCCCTAATTTTATTTTATTTTTCTACCGCAGGGTTACCCAACAGGGAAACTTTCAAGCATGTCTGAGAAGATAAACTCCAGCAGCTCTCCGCTCACAGGAACTCCCAAATCCCAAAGTGGAACTCCCAGACCGGCCTCTACAGGAGCCGGGGGCTCGTTGCCTCCAGCCGGGACGCCCTCGTCGGCGGGACACTCCGACAACGAGTCCTGTCAGTCCAGACCCACCGGAGGCAACAACAGCGTCGCCGCCCACCGCTCAGAGGTGGGGGCCAAAGCCGCCTCCGGAGAACCCGGAGACAGCGTTGGAGGCGTGGCTCTTCCCGGCGCTGCCTTGTCCCCGTCGGGGAGTCCCAGCATCCTGTCTGCGCACCTGCAGGGCGACGCCGTCCAGAGGAGCATAGACTGTCTTTCCAAAGAGCAGCTGGAGCACAGAGAGCGGTCCTTACAGACTCTGAGGGACATCGAGAGGCTGTTTCTGCGCAGCGCAACAGCCGGAGGTCCTGGAGATCCAGGAGGCTCCAACAACGGTCCTAACAACCCATCCAACTTGAACAATAACGCAGAGAGAAGCGTGATCGAGGACCCTGAGAACGGTACGAGCAACTCTGGGAACTGTGGCGGTAACATGTTGACCTCGGCCTTAGCGGCTGCTCCGGTGGGGGGCATGAAGAAGTACGAGGAGCCCCTGCAGTCCATGATTTCTCAAACGCAGTCCCTTGTTGGACCTGCCCTTGACAGCCCCCAGATGGAATCCCACTTGCACCAGATGTCCTCACCCGGGGACAACATGGGCCCCCTGCTCGGACCCGAGGGGCTGTCGCGAGAACAAATGGCCTGGAGGAAACTTCAGGAAGAGTACTATCAGGAGAAGAGACGTCAGCAGGAGCTGCAGCCACCTGGACATCCGCAGCACTTCAGGATGATTCCTGAGGTGGGAATGCACGGGGGGTCTGTCATGATGAGAGGACCCCCGCCTCCGTACCACAGCAAGCTCGGAGACCAGCAGTGGGGTCCTACTAACTTGATACGAGGTGGGATGGGTGGAAATGGAAGAATGTTGGACCTGCACCAAGATGGGCCGCGTGGTCCGAGGTTCCTGGGGCAGATCCAAAGAGGGCAGCCTGGAGGAGGGGGCTTTCCTGGTAGTCCCGGGGGTGGTCTACCAATGGAAAGTATAGGACCTCAAAGGTCCAGCCGTCCTGGTATGATGTGGCCCGATGATATGCCGAACAGCGTCGGCGGTGGAGGTCTCTTTCACGGCTGCTACCCCGGCGGACCTTCGCCGCACTTTCAAGGGGACTCTGAGTTTTTAACGCGTGAGGAGATGTTCAGGATCATGGAAAAACGGCACGTGCAGGGTGTGTCCAGGTTCGAACTGGACAGGTTAGCCAAACAGCAGCAGGGGAACATGGGCGCCAGGATCCTGGAGACTCTCGGCGGCCCGGACTTTCCCAACATGGGAATGGGCCGCGGGCCGCCCTCTGGTCGAGGCGATCCCATGGACTTTCCTGGCTCCCGAGAGATGATGGGCTCTCCTGGAGCGTGTCCTCAGATGAGAGACTTGGTGGAGTCTCCTTTAGGGAGCAGCGTCCCGATGAGCATGACCCCACAGATGAACATCCAGCAGCAGCAGCAGATGATGCTCTCGCAGAGGCTCAGAGGAAGCCACGGAGGCAGAGGGACTTTAGGGGAGATGTTTGGACCTGGAATTGGTGCTTCACAAAACGGACGAGGAGGAAACAAGGGGATGATCCCAGGACCTGACGGTCCCTTCCAGTTTCCTGGTCAAGGTTCCTTCTCTGAAGGGCCGGTAGACGGACCGTATCTTCAGCAGCATGGTCCGGAGATGTTTGGACCAGAAGCGACAGGTCCCGGTCAAATCGGCGGTACATCGCGGCTCAGCCATCTCCCGCTGACGGAAGAGCTCAGAGGGCCAGATCTTGGTTCTAGACACGCCTCTGACATGTCAGCCAGTGTTAACCCCCTAGCGTCGCCCTCATTGCCCCCTCCTCACCAACTCAAGTCCCCGTCCCTCAGCCAGGAGCCGTCTCCTCTGCTGCCCTCGCCCAACGCTCAAGGACTGAAGTCACCCATTTCCTCTGGCGGGCATCACCCCACGTTCCCCCCAGCCTCCGGTGCGGGGACTCCTTGCTCCACGTCCTTGAAGTCTCCTCAGATTATGGGGTCTTCCAGCCTCGGCTTGCATTCTCCAGCCAACTCTCCCGGACAGCTCAAGTCTCCGGCCATGGCGATGGGCTCTCCTGCGTGGACAGGGGAGCCTAAAGCAGCTCTTCCGAGTCCGGGGGGCCTAACGGGCGGGAAGGTTGTCGGAAATGGAGGGAGCAGCTCCACTGATACAGGTGCGTTCCGAACTCGAATCAGTCGCAATTTATCTGCCGTTTGCTGTAAAAAAAGTGATGATTTTCTGTGTCCTACGCAGGCCAGTCCCATCCCCCGAGGAGTTCCAGCTCCACCCCCATCAGCCAGCCAGGCTCCATGAATCCCAGCATGCCGTTTACCACCTCTCCCGATGCCCCGCCCTCTCAGAACCCTTTGTCTCTCATCATGTCCCAGATGTCCAAGTATGCCGTTCCCAGTTCTACTCCGCTGTACCACGACGCGATCAAAACCATCGCCACTTCTGATGACGAGATGATGCCGGAGCGCCCCCTTCTGTCTGGAGTCAGTATCGGAGGTATGAAAACACATTTTTTTAATCCTGATTACTGGAAACACTTTGGAACATTACAGATGTTAAAGTTTTCTTTTCTATCCTCTATCCAAAAGTGTTTATTTAAATGTTGACTGTTGTTTTATAAACACAAATAAATATAATACAAATTATAGGGCACTTCCAAGTCCAGTTTTTTTTTTCTTCTAAATTTAAGGTGTTAGGATGTAACTACAGTTTATTTTTATCTAAAATGTGTCTCATTATATGGTAAAAATAAAAATTTTATAAATAAATATGAAAATGTATAAATAAAAATACTGAATAAATAAAACAGAAATACAGCTAAATTTATTTCAGTTCAGTAATTCGCATTAAAACTAAAACCAAATGTAAAATAAAATCTACAAGCTGAAAGTATAATAATTATATAAATAAAAGCTTAAGTTTTTTAAACAGTAGCTAAAACCTAAAAGTAGCAAAACTGTATCTAAATGTAGTTTAGCTAATCGTTTAAGGTAGCAAAAAGCTAGCCAAATCTAAATATATCAATATGATAGCAAAAAGTAGTAAAAGGTTAATTAAAAGTAAATATAGCAGTCTAACTAAAAATAGCAAAAGATAGCTAAAAGCTAAATGTACCAAAATGCAAAATAATAGTGCTAAGAGTTTAGACAAAAGCTAAATGTAGCATAAAGCTACTTAATAGTTAAAGGTTAGCTAAAAGTTTTAAAGTAGCAAAAAGCTAACCAAAGATTAAAAAAGAGTTTATCTAAAAGCTAGTAAAAAATCTAAAAGGTAGCTAAAAGAAGCAAAATCCCATTTAAAAAACTTTATGTAACAAAATGCAAACTAATAGTACTAACAGTTTAGCCAAAAGCTAAATGTAGTAGAAAGCTACCTAATGCTTAAAGGTTAGCTATAAGTTTAAAGTAGCACAAAGATAAGAGAAGATAAAAAAGTTTATCAAATAGCTAGCAAAAATTTCAAAGGTGGCTAAAAGTAGCAAAATGCAAACTAATAGTTCTAAGAGGTTAGCCAAAAGCTAAATGTAGCAAAAAGCTACACCATAGATAAAGGTTAGCTAAAAGTTTTAAGTAGCAAAAAGAAAAGTGACGATAAAATATTATCAAAAAAAAAAAAAGCTGCTGAAAATCTAAAAGGTGGCTAAAAGTAGTAAAACTAATAATAACTAAAAGCCAATGGTAGTTTGTGGTGAGCCGTTAGCTGAATATATCAAAAAATCTAGCTGAAGTAACAGAATAGTAGCTATTTTTAGCAACTAAAAGCCAAAATTAACAAAAGGCTTCCCAAAAGTTAAAATAGTAAAAAGGGAGTAAAAGTAACAGAACAGTCTCTAAAAGTGAAAACGAGGAGAATGGCAGCTAATGTTAGCAAAGGGCTACCTAAAAGCTAATTCTTTAGCCTGTGGGTTTTAGCTTAGGTTTAGCTGTAAGCAGCCTGTGGTTGAGGGAAAACATGATTTAGGACATGGACTTTTATTTTGATGTTTTTCCCTGTTTTCCCTGCAGGCAGCATGGGGGCGAACCAGACGGCGCAGATGCTGGTCTCCCAGGGCTCTATTGGCCCCCAAAGTGCTCCCCAAAGCCCCATGGGCATCATCGGCCAGGGCCAGCAGCACCTGTCTCACGACGCCTCAGGACCTGTGCTTTCCTCGCCAAACCAGATGGGTATGCCGGCCATGAATTCAGTCATCATGGGAGGAGGCGGAGCTCCTGACGGGATGGTTCCCAGCAACGTGTCGCCGTTGTCTCAGAACCAAATGGCAGGTTTTCCTCGCGTGCAGCCGCCGTCCCTCGGGCCCATGCACTCGCCGATCGGAACGATGTCTCAGAGTTTCTCGCAGTCCAACGACGGCCTCCTGCCTCACCAGCAGCTGCAGCTTCTGAGCAAAGGACATCACCAGCGCGCCCCTCACCCGTCGGACTCTTTCGCCTCCCTCCCCATGGGGGACGGTCCGGACTTGAGCGAGGTCATCCGACCCACTCACTCGGGGATCCCAGAGTTCGACCTCTCCCGCATCATTCCCTCCGAGAAGCCCAGTAGCACCCTTCAGTACTTCCCAAAGAGCGAGCCCCACCAGGGCCCGCCGCCGTCGCAGCAGCTCCTCAAACAGCTGTCCGCCTCTGGCCCCCAGCACGGCGGCGGCCCCTCGTGCAACCCCCACTTGGCCAGCCTGCAGAGCATGGCGGAGCAGCAGCTGCTGCCTCACCCGTCTCACGGGGGAATCCGCCAGAACGTGGGCATTCCTCAGCCGGGGTCTAGGGGTATGGTGTCCGCAGGAGGCATGGGCCCCATGTGTCCCCCCGGGCACATGATGGGACGGGCGGGCCTGATGCCCCAGCAGCAGCAGCAGCAGTCGGCCATGATGGCCAACAGCCTTCTCCACCATCCCTCCAACCCGTACGCCGGAATGATGCCGACTCAGCATAACTTAATGTCGCCGCAGAACATTCTGATGATGCAGGCCAAGCAGCGCGGCATGGCCATCCCGGGGGAACCCTTTGGACACCAGGGTCCCATGATGGGCCCTCCCCACCCCCAGTCCGGTATGATGGGCCAACAGTCCCTCAGACAGCGGGGGATGCCTCTGGACAGTCCGATTGGCTACGGCTCGGGCGGTATGGCCAACATGCCTTTCTGAACCATCTCAACTGTTCGAAACGTGTCTCTGTCGTGTCTTTATTATTTTATTTTTGTTATTTTATTTTTTTTGTAATTGTCGTAGTTGTTCAGGAAGAGAAATGCTTTTAAAAACAAATCAGTGATAATCTTCATGTTTTGGGTTAAATAAAGCTGAAAAAAAATGAGAAGCACTGTAACACTGTTGAAATAAATCTGAAGCCATTTTCTAAAAAAAAAACAAAAAAATACTGTAAATTGTATAAATTAAAACAAAAAAAATCTGTGTATTTGTCGTGGTGATTAGGAGAGGAGTGCCTCAAATTTCTATTTGTTTTAATATCATTGATTTATTTTCTCCAACTACCAAACTGTTTGTGCAAATAAATTATATAAATATATAATATATACTTTGCTGTATATAAGATGCAATTTGTGATTGTTTGCAGTTGTTCTGTATAACTGTGTTTTAATAGCAGCTGAAGAATAGAATAATCATCCCTGAATTGTTTTTTTGTTTTTGTTTAATTAATAAATTAAAAGTCTAAGATTCCTTGAAGGAATGCATATCCGTTTGAAATTTACGTTTTGGGAGACGATGCCCTCAGATCGTGTTGTGAAGGACTCTCGACTACTACCACACCAAACTTTAGCTTATCTTGAAATTTGACTGAGTCATACCCATCCTTTAAATTGCTAAAGTTTTATGGGCTGTGGCGGCCATCTTGACTTGCGACCTTGAAGTTCCTTAAGGGGTGTAAAATACGTTCAGTCATAAATTTTACACTTTTGTTAAAAGCCAGTATAATAATAACAGACAAAAACATTGTCCACCTTTTGTGTTTTGTCAGCAGGCGATAAGAAGACAAACTTTTCTGTATTAAAAACTTTATTGAACACAATTCACTGTAAAAACAGCAAATACATTTTTGCCAACAAGCTAAATTCGATACATCAGTTGCTGTTTTCAGAGGCAATTCCACTTGATTTACTAAAGCTTCAATGCACCGGTTTTTATTCTTTCTTGTGAAGCTATAATCTTAAATTGGTACCATATATTCAGAAAAACAACCAAAGACATTTACAATAAAACATTTTCAAAAAAAATACAATGTAATCGAAAATAAAATTTCTTCAGAGAAACTTTTGCGACCAACATAAAAAAAATTGACCATTTTATGGCTGTTAATGGGCATGCTCATAGTATTTAAGTTGGGCATTGGTGTTGTGTTGACCTTTATTAAGCATATTCATAAATGAGTTTTCCTGGTATTTTACACTGTGATGGTGAACGATGCAACAACTAAAATAAAGCTAGTTTTTCAATGAAAGTAGCATTAAAGAATTCACACTGCCCGCCATCTTACATGTCAAAGATTTAAACAAAGATCCGATGGTGCTCTGAGTTCATGTTGTGGATCAAAGCTACCACACCAAGTTTTAGCTTCCTCGTTTAAACACTAGCGCCAGAATTAGCTGCTTAGCTAAAGCGCATTAAACAAAACATCTGTAAGGTCAACCAGATGTGGCACTGTTTTTAAAATGGCATGCTACAACTGGCCCAGTTGTGGTTTGGTTTATGTGGCCCTAATCCATTGATGGCACAGCTGTGATTTGGTTTATGAGGCCCAAATCTTGTCAGTGCTACAACTGGCCCGGTTGTGGTTTAGTTTACGTGGCTCTGCTCCATCAATAGCACAACTGGCAAGGTTGTAGGTATGATTAGGAGCCCTAAATCCTTCAATGCCACAACTAGTCCAACAGTGGTTTGGTTTATATGACCCGTTTCTATTAGTGCCACAACTGGCCCGGTTGTGGTTTAGTTCATGTGGCCCTAATCAATCAATGGCACAACTGGCCTGGTTGTGGGTATGTTTATGAGGCCTAAATCTTTCATTGCTGCTACTGGCCCAGAAGTGGTTTGGTTTACAAGGCCCAAATCTGCCAATGCCACAACTGGGCCAGTATTGGTTTGATTTAGAGGACCCAAATCTGTCAGTGCTACAACTGGCCCAGTTGTGGTTTAGTTTAGGGGGCCCTAATCCGTTAGTGATACAACAAGCATGTTGTGGTTTGACTCATAAGGCCTAAATCTTTCATTGCCACAACTGGCCCAGTAGTGGTTTGATTTAGATGACCAAAATCTGTCAGTGCTACAACTGGCCCGATTGTGGTCTAGTTTAGGTGGCCCTAATCCGTCAGTGATACAACTAGCATGTTGTGGTTTGATTTATAAGGCCTAAATCTTTCATTGCCACAACTGGCCCAGTAGTGGTTTGATTTAGATGATCAAAATCTGTCAGTGCTACAACTGGCCCGGTTGTGGTCTAGTTTAGGTGGCCCTAATCCGTCAGTGATACAAATAGCATGTTGTGGTTTGATTTATAAGGCCTAAATCTTTCATTGCCACAGCTCGCCCAGTA